CTGTAAACAAAATGCGAAGATTGGCCCGAAAGGGTGCTGTGTAAACCACCAAAAAAAGGACATGTAAAGTCCGCTGGCATGTCCGATTGGATTTCCCAGGGAAACATTCCCATAAACCAAGAAGTCAAGCAAATGCAGGTCAAATAAGCTGAAGTAAGGACTCATGAAAATTGGGGCATGCAAAATGCCCCCAGTTTCTGTTTCTCCCATGAAAAGCCCTCGGAGAACTGGCCACAAGAACTGCCACCATCCCTAGTCGAAGTCAAAGGGTGGCTCAAAGATGGGGATGCCTGGATTGGTCCCTTTTTCTAGGGGGTAAATGGGAGCCCCCTCCTTAGCCACCGAACCACGAATCCAAATCGCCAATTCGAGGGAAACGGCAATTTATGTGAGCTTCCCTTTGAAACCCGCAAGAGGTTCCTGCTTCTGACACGTGCACACTCACCCACCCACCCACCCACACACACACACATATTCTCGCGCTGTGCAACCCGAGAAGGTCAGGGCCGGAATATAAGGGAACAGGTACAGTGACATGGATTTAGGTACGAGTCAGATCGTGAGAAATGCGTCGGTGCATCTGGGGTGAAATTATCGTAAAGCACCCAAGAAAGGAACCTTCATGGGTGAGGCAAAGCAACTTCCTTTGCGAGGACCTATCATTTGCCCATCAGCCCCGTTTCCCCATCATGCTCGTGTCGGATAGGCTTCGTTAGTCCCACATTATGAGAAGTCTTAAGATCAGCGTTCATTTTTGACCTGGCGGGCGTGCAAAAAGAAGCACTAGCCTCCAGGACCAACCATTTTTGACTCTGGAAGGCCTGCCGAATCACTGCTTCAAATTCACTCAAGCAGGGCGGAGACTTGTTCTTCGGCAAAGAAGTGGTCGCAAGATGTAGCCTCCTTCCCAGAACCCGGTTGAAGGGAGTCGGTTGATATCGCAGAAGTGGACCCATGTATCTTACGTCTTTCCGGGAAAGCGATCGAAATGCCTCTCTCACACACCCCGGGGCCAGGCCCCGTAGACCCAGTAGATGTTGGACTCGCCCTTGCTGTTTTTGTCCTCCGAATCGATGTGCTTCAAAAATGTATGAGGCAGGAGACAAATCATCCGGGAAGGCAAAAACCAACAGCTGGCGGAATATCTGATTTGCTCAGTGGCCTTACTCTCAAAAGGCTGCGGCCACTCTGACGAACTGGCAAGGCAACGCCGATGCAAAACATGTCACAACCATACCCCCGGCGCATAGTTCCATTTCGCTACCTCACTTGCAAGGGGTCACACCCGCCCCAATCCAAATACACCTGAGACCGGACCACAAAACGTTGAGGAAACACGTTTGGGAGGAAAGTGTTCCGCAGCAAGGGCCGAGCAAAGCGAATAAACCGCCCGCTGGCTTTAGCTCTTTGGGGTTCGCCAAAATCGGAAAATTCCTGGAGGTCAAGGAGGCCCGGTCCCTTCTGCCCGACCAAAACCAATAGATTTGATGTTGGCCCACATTCAGTAAGCCTCGAAATCCATGTCAGAATTCAAAAAGGATCACAAACAAACACACAAAGCACGTGCCCTTGGAATGGTGGGCTCCAACCAACCCCCTCTTTGGGTTTGATAAGCCCCCAACCCGCCCTGTGCAAAACAGGGCTCCCTTTAGTTCCTCTTCAATCTTGACCCCCGAAAAGTGATGCCTTTTGGCTTCCCCTTCTTAGATGGTCCGGGACTTGGCCAAATGGTGAGTTAGAGAAGTCCCCTATAACCAGGGTTACCAGCCTTTCTAGCTAAGTCCCGGACCGGCGCAGGTGACGTTCAAACCATGCAAGGGGAGATGTTGTGTCTAAACAGGGCCCCCCCAAAAAAAAAGGAAGAAAACACGGGTTTCCTTGTGGTTTCCCTTCTAACCAACCCCAACCAACCAGGGTTCTACCTCCCAAAAACCTCCGAAGTTTTCTCGATGCGTCCTGTGGCAGCACCAGGTGGGGGCAGCCCGCCAGCAGCTCCCCATATTTGCGCCCGATCTCCCGCTTTCGCTGGACGGCCGCCTGCAGAAGCGGCAGGCAGCGAGTTCTTCTTTTGTTTTGTCTTTTTCTCTTTTTTTTCCCGGGGGGGGGTCCCAGGTGGAGAAGAAAAAATGGACGGCCGGGTTTTCGGCGGGTATCTCAGCATGCTTCAAGTTGGAAACCAAGAGGAAACCAAGAGGAAACCAAGAGGAAACCAAGAGGAAACCAAGAGGAAACCAAGAGGAAACCAAGAGGAAGCCAAGAGGAAACCAAGAGGAAACATCTGGTAGGAACTAAGAAGCATAGGTGCGCTTGGTCAGCATTGAACATGGATGGCCGGTTTTGTTTGAGGCTACCGCTTTTCCAGTTGGTTGAGAGGGAAACTAAGAAGGACAACAACATTTTGAGGTCCACATCCTGTTTTTGACATCCCCATAGTATATTGGGCATGTCAAAGGTTTGTTTTGAGGGTATCTTAGCTTCTTGAAACCTCCTTCAAAAAGTTCCCTTAGAAACCTGCATGTTAGAAATGAAACAGCACAAGATTTGGACCTCACACATATTCTTGTCCCTTTGGGTTTCCCTCTCAACCAGAAAAGCGGTACCCTCAAAAAGACACTTGGGAACGTGCGAAGCTTACCCTCCGAATCTATGCTCAGGGGCGAAGCGCCTGGCACAAAAGCACTCAAACTCCTGACGTGATCTTGACTCAATTTGGTCTTCTGGCACACAGCCAAAAAAATATGCGGAAGAATCTTGACCCTTAAAATGCCCTGTGATACCAGCAGTGGAAGTGGACAGGCCGCGCAGACAAGCGCCATAGGATCAACAAACTGGACCCAAGTCCCGGCTCCGACTATTTTTTTTGCAGGGCTCAGAAAGCCCCCCCTTTCTCTCTATGACACCAAAGTGGCGGATTCGCATCATGTCACGAAATTGGGGAGCCCGGATTTGGTTGGTGAGAACCACTGGTATGTACAAACTGGTTGTGTGTCGTGGCAACCTTTTTGGGTAGTGAAGCCGGGCTTTCCCGAAGGAAAGCGGCGCACCGAACACCCATCTGAAGCAAGACTCAGCTGCAAAAGTGGACGGAACCCCGTCACTTTGGAGCGGGCTACTAGCCCCCTGTATCATGAGATGCCCCTGAAGTTCCATGGGGTCATCAGGGCTGTACATGAAATCCACTGTGATACAAGAAGGGCTTCCCAGACTACCCCATGGAGATTCCCTTGTACACAAATTGGAACCCCAAGTGGTCAACCACACCCATGGTCTTCCTCATGCGCTTCACCCAGCCCCAACCTCCAGGTGCTCGAGCTGCCCGAGCCCCAGCGCTGCCTGGCTCTCTTCTCAAAAAATGGAGCAGGGTTCATTCACTTCGGTGGTTTGGTGATTTGGGCCATGACTTGTCCTGGGATAACCCCAGAACTTCACATCCAAAGCACCAATCAGCGTCTTTCATTGCGGCAAGTTGACTTTTCTTTTGGAACCCCGATAGGTGCAGGAACGTAGCTGAACCTTTTGGACTGGGCGCGGTTCAGAAAACCCTCAAAGGATGACCTAGCTTTATGGCTTACTTGCCCCCCCTTTTTTGTCAGCCCTCAAAAGCAGGCACTTGACCAACCGTTCCAGTTCTTTTTTTGCTACTTGACCTGTCTGTGCCGTCAAACTTTTGTAAACGGGGTCCGCGAAACCAGCGCCTGGCAAGGCTTGAAAGCGAGTTGGATCCAGCGTGGAAACAGTCGGATGCGGGCGTTTCAAAGCGGCCGACAGGGTGCTTCGTCTTTGACATCCCAGGTGTGGGTCAAACATAGGTACCCAGAATGGAACCCTGGTACATGGAATCAACGACCAAAACCTGCGGTCCAATTCCTGGTGGTTTAATTTTGACATACACCCCGTGTCGCAATCTGGAACACATGGTCACCTTCTGATGGGCTCCGAAGTGCCGTGGCCCCTTGCCAAGATCGCTCAACTCAACTCAAGCGAGTCAGAATCAAGACCCGGTACTAAAGGCCCTAAAGGCGTCTACCCAAAACCCATGGAGAATCGAAAGGCCAAGAATTGCCACTCCTATTTCTGGCCACTGTCCATCAACCTTCATCTAACCACACACGGTTTTATGACTTTCTCAGCTGGTTTCAAGGATCCCCTTCTCCCCTCTCCCCCAAATACGCGTCTTTCGCCGCGCTAGAGCTAGCGCCTGAAGGTTGGTCATGCGGTAGTTCCAGCCCAGGTCCTGCGGCCCAGCTGAGATTCCATCGATCGGCCAGAAGCAACATGGGTTCAGACCTGGTCCAACCCCCACCCCTCTCCCGGACCCCAAACAAAAAGCGGAGGGGCTTCAAAGGCTTTTGGTTGTCCCATGGGAAATGAGTCATAGTCACAACCCGGTAGTAAAATGGTCTACCCAGAACCATGCTTCAAGAATCAAGCAGGCGGCCGCAACTATTTCTGGCGGGGACTACCCCTTACTAACCTTCATCTACCCGGGATTTGATTGTGACCGCCCTTGAAACGGAGGCGGGAGGTCAAAAAATAAGCTCAGGTGATATCCCCAACAGCATGCAGTACCCTCATGGTGGAAATCTGCTGGAACTCTCGTGGAACCTTACCTCAGGACCGCCCCGGACCACCCCGGAGCCTATCTGGGCTGAGACCCCAAAGCTTTCAGCTGTTGGGAAAAAGGGCCGCCGCCGCGCCTCGTGCACGAAGCGGCGCTTCTTGGGGTCGAAGCAAAGGTTCCGCAGCTGTTGACACCTGGCAACTCTCAACCGCATCGATTGTTTGTTGCTTGTTTGATTGTTTGTGTGTGTGATTGACTGATTGTTTGTTTTGCGTGCGTGCGTGCGTGCGTGCGTGCGTGCGTGCGTGCGTGCGTGCGTGCGTGCTTGCTTGCGTGCTTGCTTGCTTGCTTGCTTGCTTGCTTGCTTGCTTGCTTGCTTGCTTGCGTGCGTGCGTGCGTGCGTGCGTGCGTGCTTGCTTCTTGCTTTACTGTCCTGTTTGCTTGCTTGCTTGCTTGCTTGCTTGCGTGCTTGCTTGCTTGCGTGCTTCTTTCTTTCTTTCTTTCTTTCTTTCTTTCTTTCTTTATGTTCTTGTATTTTCTCTTCTTTTCTGTTATTTGCTGTTATTTTCTGTGTCTTTTCTTTGATTTTATGCTATTTGTTCTTTTCTTTTTTCTTTTCTGTTCTTTTCTTTTCTTTCTTTCTTTCTTTCTTTCTTGCTTTGTTTATTTATTTTTTGTTTCTTTGATTCTTTGTTTCGTTGCTTATTCGATACTTTGGTTCCTTGTTTCTTTGTTTAGTTGCTTCTTTGAATCTTTGCTTCGTTGCTTCGTTGCTTCTTTCATTATTTGACTCTTTGTTTCTTTGTTTCATTGTTTCTTTGTTTGCTTTTTTGGGTTTGTTTGTTGGTTCGCTCGTTTGTTCGCTTGTTTGTGTGTTCGTTCTTTTCTTTCCGTGGTTGTTTGCTTGCTTTCTTTGTTTGTTTGTCAATGGGTGCTCTTTCTGTGCAATCAACCAATGCACAACATGTGGTATCCATAAAGCCAAGCTCTCATGGGTATGTCAAAGGGAACACCAGGGAATCTCGACTCACCATTGGTTGCCGCGAGGTGAGTCTTTTTACCTGAGCAGCAAGCTGAAGAACAAACCCTTGTGAGGGAGCACTGGCAAAGTGGGCCCCTTGAACCTGGCAAGGGCGTCCTTTGGGTTGCCCTTGCAGCCCAAAAACGATTGAGTCACCTCATATGGCTGGTGGCTCACGCGGAGTATGGCTCGCTGACGAAGCCTTCTTGCGTCAAGACAAGTTACGCCCGATGGTGCCGTTCTCTGTTGCAGGGAAACTGCGGAAGGTCCGGCCCGCAATCGAAGCCCTGGATCCCCGTCCCACCTAGGTAATGCCCCCCCCCGCGTGTGGAGCTGTTGCGGGTTGGTTGTGGGTTTGTTGTGGTTGGTAGTGAGTTTAGGCTGGGTTTGGAGTTAGAGGCCCTGATGTGTGGGGGATGTTGGGGGTGGTTTGGGGGCACCGGCTGAACCTGGGATCGGGACATACACATCAGCCCGGCCAAAAGCCAACCAGCCCCCACAATGGCCTCTCCGCCAGGGCGGGGTCATCACACAGCACCATGCCGCCCTCTCCTGGCGAGCAGTCGAACCAGCAGCGGCAAACCGCAAACCGCCCACCCGCACATGGCAACTCGCGCCTGTGGTGATGTGCTTGTTGGGGTAGAAGCTCATGGTGCTGATGTCTCCAAAGGATCCGCAGGGCCGGCCCATGCAGGTCCTCGTGTCGGAACTCGCAGGCCGCGAGGGCATGGGGTTCTGACGTGGAACCAAATGATTCAGTGCCAAAACTGTGTCGGTTTCGTGGGGCGAAAAGGGAAACCCCTTCCTCAACTTGGGGGAGTCAAGCCCTTTGACTTGGTTTGTAAAGGGCTGGGACCATCGAGCAGTCGAAACCAATTTTGACACGCTTCTTGCAACGTCCGAATCTGTAAGGTACACTACATGGCTGGAACAGCGCAAGAAGTCATTAGCACAAAGCGCCTCCTCGGCGATGTTGCAACCGCCAAACCCGGCCGAGGGTGAAACATGAGGAAGCCTGGCGTCAGGACACTGAACCAAAGGGAAGGCCGCTGGCCCCCAATGGCGAGCACGCCAAACTCTTGAAAATGACCGCTCACTAAATTATGATCTCCTTCTTCGGCACCGGCAATAAGTTCAGCAGCGCCCGAAGCTCCTCGCTGGCCTCGCCGATCACGTTGTTCGCCCCCAGATCCAGCGTCAGCTGCTGCAGCTGCGCCAGCCCTCTTAGCCCATCCGCCAGGGCCCGGGCGCCCGCCGCGCCGAGGTCGTTCATTCGCAGATCCAGCGTCAGCTGCTGCAGCTGCACCAGGACTTGGAGCCCGTCAGCCAGGCCCCGGGCGCCATCCGAACCGAGGTTGTTTGCGCACAAATCCAGCGTCAGCTGTTGCAGCTGCGCCAGGCTTCGGAGCTCGTCCGCCAGGCCCCGGGCGCCGTCGTCGCCGAGATCGTTCATCCGCAGATCTAGCGTCAGCTGCTGCAGCTGCACCATGCCTCTGAGCCCATCCGCTAGGGCCCGGGTACCGCCGTCGCCGAGGTCGTTCATCCGCAGATCCAGGGTCAGCTGCTGCAACTGTGTCAGGCCTCGAAGCCCGTCAGCCAAGCCCTGGGCGCCATCCGGACCGAGGTTGTTTGCGCACAAATCCAGGGTCAGCTGTTGCAGCTGCGCCAGGCTTCTGAGCTCGTTCGCCAGGCCTTGGGCGCCGGCGTTGCCGAGGTCGCTCATCCGCAGATCCAGCGTCAGCTGCTGCAACTGCGCCGGCCCTCGCAGCCCCTCAGCCAGGCCCCGTGCACCATGCGAACCGAGGTTGTTAGTGCACAAATCCCGTGTCAGCTGCTGCGGCTGCGCCAGGCCGCAAAGCCCCTCCGCGGCGTCCGCATCGCTGGCCGCCATCATGGGCATCTGCATCTGCATGCCCGAGCCCATGTTCATAATCATGCCCTGCATGGGCAAGCCGCAGCTCGTGCAGAAGTTTGTGGCGCCGCAGCTGCAGCACGAATGGTCGCCATGCTCTCGGTTGGCTCCTTCCCCTACCTTCTCTTTGTCCTCGACCTTGCTGGTGTAGTCGAAATCCTCGACTTGAGCGTTGACGTGCCCGGAAGTGCTCGATGAGCTGTCGGTCGCCAACTTCACCAGCGCCGCCGCAATCTGCGCCGTGATCTCCGCGTGCGCGGAGTCCGCCGGCTTTGGATCGCGGAGATGCTGCAGCGCCCGGTCCACCGCGAAGTGGAAGCCCAGCACGGTGCAGCGCCCTTCCTCCGTGATGGTGACGCAGTGCTGCTGGGCAACCTGCTGGAGGTTCAAGCTGGAGATTCCGTCAAGCTCGACCTCTTTCTCCGTGCAGAGGGCCTGCAAACCCTCCAGGAACTGCGCAGTGGCGGCCACCGCCGGCTTGGGCCCAAAGAGCCGCACCTCCTTGACACTGCGCTCGATGTGGACCCGGCAGCCGCTGAGCTGCTGCATACGATGCATGGTCCCGCTGGAGTCTTGCGACATGCGAGTTCGCATCAGCTCGGCCCACACCGCGCTGCTGACGGACCTGCGCGGCCCGCCCAGGCACTCCACCTGCCACTGCACCTCGTGCACCGCAGCCTCCGGGCCGCTCACGCGCAGCACGCCGCGGAAGCGGTCGAACCTGAGCTGCGCGCGGCTGGTGCCCTGGATTTCACGGAGCCGACGCTTGCCGCGGCGGCAGAAGGAGGCGCTCAGCTCTGGACCAAGGGCGATGTCCAGGGTCTTGTAGCCGAACTCATCCCAGGCCCAAGTGTTCATGGCGGCGCGCAGAGCCTGCTCTCGGCTGCCAAAGCAAAGGTCCGGTTGTTGTCAAAATTCCCGTCTAAGCAGAAATGTCTTGCGGAAAAACACGATGGAAAGGTGATGTTCAGGATAAATGATTGAAACCCTGCTCAACCTGGCATCCCTGTGGACATGCGAATTTGCAGATTTCTGAAAACCAAAACATGGGTATGATCTTCAATTGGGGACCGTTCCGTGGGCAACACTTACAAAAGCACTTATGTTGGATTTGCCCGGACAAATTTGTTCTCCAAGGCGAAGATTTGCCATGTATCTCCAAACCAAAAGTATAATACTCTCAGTTGCTCACATGGGGCCGTGGCTAGCTTCAAAACCCTTCTTGGCTCGTTGAAAGCGAACAAAGAAGGACACCAATCATTCTGGGGATCGTCCCCGGCTGTTTGGCGGAAAATTGGGCGAGACCGGGGGGGCGGGTGGGGGCTTTTACCCTTTTTGGGGTGGTGTTTTTTTTGTGCAAGCCAAACACAAAACGCCCAGTTTGGACATTTGCTTTGACCTCCAAAAACCCCAACTCGGATCTCACTTCGACCTCCGGACGGCTTCCGGGCTGCCCGGCTGGCCGATCATCTCGGCGGCGTCCTCGATGATCTTCAAACCGTGCTCCTCCCGATTTTTTTGATTTTGGGAGCGGCGCAGAAAAATCCGGCCAAGCCCAACAGCGGCGGATGAAGGAAAAACATAGGGACCTCTGTACGTCGAGGCGGAAGTGGAAGTCGCCGAAGTGAGTGGTCAAAAATTTCTGGTGATGGTATTGCTCCTGGAAAATTCTTACCATGGGTGCGTTAAGTCGCGTTTGGGTCATGAGCATCGGTGGGCACGAGGCGATACCCTCCCACCGACTTTCGGCCTGGTGCATCGATGTGCTCTTGGCAGACGACTCTGGGAGCTGCTCCGAACATGAATCTTTGGATCGGCTCCCACGGAGCTCAAGGTACGACGGTACCACAAAGGGTTGCAATGGGTCCATCTCCATTACGCGGATGGGCGGCTTGGGAAACCTATCCAACCCTCGATTTCCCCATGGCCATTGCAACATGAGAACTCGTTCATTCCTTTTTCAAGGGGCTCCATAGCTCTGGATGCCAAAAGCGATGTGGGGCTGCAACCCACACGTTGGCCCCCGACTGAACGTTCGCCCGGTCCCAATGGCCACGGACCAGAAACTGGGAAGGTCAGGACCCAAAGGGACGCCTGGTACTCCTCAAGTGTTAGCCAATGGAAAAGTCTTGACATGGTGAGCTCTGAGCTGTTTTTGATACGGTACCCCGTTTTGCTTTCAAAAAGAAGCCAAAAGGACAACCCAGTCATTTTGGGGTCCCCTAAAACAAGACACATCTAGACTCAGTTCGCGCCCGCATCAGGACGATCAGTGGATGGGCATCTTTTACTTGGCTCCTCAAAATCCGTCGCCCCACCCTGGAAAGGGCGGGGGGGGAGATGTCAGACGCAAGTAATGCGCATGGCGATGACCCATTTGGGCCATGGACCACAGCGATTGTCTATAGCCTACAACATCTTAATCACCGCTAGTAGTGACGACCAGTTTAGTCTACGGGCAGTAGTGACGACCAGGTTAGACTATGGAACACAACTTCATTATGTTGATATTTTGCTTGTACTTATGAAATCAACACCACGGGCATTCATGGCTGGGTTGTTCTTTGGCATCCTCTGGGGCTTGCCTCCACCCTTGGCTGCAATGATGAGATGCTAGGAGACCTGAATAGATTCAACACCCTTGTGTGGTCAGATCCTGTTGGTGCTTAGCAAAATGTCCGAATCTGCTTTGGCATGTTCTGGTGCTCGATTCCACAGTCAAATGCTGGGACAAATGTTGCCATTTACTCCAGGGTGGCTTTGAAGCATGGAGTGACATGTCCACCCATTCTTCTTGCAGGTCGTTTCTTGGGCTTTTTGTTTTGTGCGCTCTCCCGTGCTTCGTGCTTCGTGCTCCAGCCTGTTGGGGTTTGTCCGAGTGCTTCCTTGCATACATGGGTTGAGAGCTTGGATGCACTGTTTTGTAAGCATACTTTACAGGCCTGAATAAACGACGACACAATAGGACAAGCCAAAGTTATGGCTCCAGGTTGCTCCAAATTCCAGCACATCAACCTCTTTCCGTGGTGCCAAGCACCGCCCCAATTCTGCCCAGTCTTTTACTGTGGAGCCTTGCTATGGTACGATGTGGTGGTCTTTGGCACGGCGCAAACGGCCCTTCAAGATCTTTCATGTTCGCGGCCTGCCATGCCGACTGGTCCAAGGCAACAGAACTGCCATCTTATGTCCCAGGTTTCAAACCCAAGGAAGCCCATGTGACGTTTGCAAGCCCTGCCATGTGGTGCCGAAGCAACCCGCTTCAAGCGCGTCCTTGGCCAAGGCCAAGATGGGCCTTGGGGCACCGGGTCGAATCGAAACCGCAGCCGAAGTAAGGCCAGACTGATGGACGAAATCCGTTCGCACCACGTTGAAGACATGGTTGCAACCATTTCTTGTTGGCATTGACCAGGGGAATCGAATCCGAAATCAGGGTTTGTTAGGATTTCGTAACCATAGGTCTCTTTGATTGGCCCTGGTAGGTTTGGTCAAATCGTTTGAGGACTTTTTGTCGGACTCACCGTGTGTGTTTCCCCTTAACCGGACCTTCCCATTTGCTTTCAAAAGGAGGAGCCTCAAATCCCCAAAGTGCAGACCACATAGGCTATGGATTGACCACGAAAGCTGGAGCAAGACCTCTCTCAATAGGCAGAACATTCCCGAGATATCGGCTGGTCAACTTTTGGGCAAAGCTCATTGTTTGCGCCATCGGATGAGGTCCAAAGGCCCAAAAAAGAAAGGCCAAAACGCAGGCTTCTGTCCGCCCAAAGGGCCATCAAACCCTCTCCCCATTGAGAGCCCAACATGCAAAGATACGGCCATGAAAGGTTGGCCATGCTTGCTAGTACGGTCGCTTTTCACCAGCTAGGGAGGGACAAAGGTGCGCTGTTCAACGCGTTTGCGTCAGCCTGACACTGTCTGAGAACTGCCAACCTTGGCACAAGCAACCTCTGCCAACCCGAGAGGCATACTCGTTGTTTGGTCTTCAGGGGTTGATCCTTGCGAATTCCCAGGTGGATGACACCCCTTTTAACCTCGGAAGGTGTCCACAAATGAGTCGTCAAAAAAAATGAACGGGTCCTGGAGGCTCGGGGTACTGGGTGCACGGCTCCATGTCGACAGGGAAGTGGTAGGTGTGGACGCACATGATGGCCTGCACCATCGGCAAGCGACCCCGAAGTTTCAGATCAATAGGAAGGTGCAACTCCCCCAAAAGCGAAGGGCCCACCTCGTACATGTGGCACCCCCTATTTATCAACCAGGGGTTGTGCAGCACGTGTCTGTGAATTGGTCAGAGAAGCTGATAGAGTGGGAATGACGTAACGCACTCGTTTTGGTCGTTGTCGGGTGAGTTGCCCTCGCTCCAACTAACATGGCATCTGTGGGGAGGTACCTGGAATATTAATTTCCTTTTGAAGAGAGCCCCTGTCAGCTGTCATGCTAGTGGGAGGGAGGGTACATTTGATTGCGTTGTCAGCTGCTCAGTGGATTGGCGATTTAGGCATGGAGCGCGAGCTGGGAGCGATGAGCTCACAAGCTAGTCATTTGCAGGAGCCTGCTGCTTTTCGTTGAATTCCAAGCTGGCTATGGCTCGGAGGTCTGCTAGTTACTCGAATCCGTAACAAGCTAGCTTATTTCACCTGAGGCAACGAGTTGGTTGATTGTCTGGTTGGCTAGTTTGTAATCTGTGAGTTTTCTAGCCAGCAAAAAAATGAAACCACTACGCAGCAAATCATCTGTGGTCGTAGCAGTTGACAGACCCCTCTTTTTCTAAGCCCCAAAGACGGCACCTTGGTCTTGGGTGTGATCTTGGCAGCAACCTGCGACACGTCCATGTTGAAGGAGTCATCCTTAGCCGCCGTCGAGTCTCAGGTAGGCTCCATGAGAGAGCCAAGGTCCATGAACCCCACACCCCCCCCCCCGCCCAAAAACAACAACAAATAAACACAAAAACAAAACAACGGAACAAAACAACACAGAACCCCCCCGGCGGCAAACGTAAAAGTCTCGTTGCCTCATTCCTGTGTCCCAAGCTGGTAAACCCCACATCAGCTTCCCGAAACCAACTCGAACCAGAAAAGGGTTCGTCAACTCAGGCGCAGTGGGGGATGTGGGAGGAGTGGAAGGGGAGGGTGGAAGGTGTCCCCTCAAAACCTGCACCCTGGCAAGTGATTCTTGAAACACCCTCGACCATTGTCTGAGGCATTGGCAGAGTCCACTAGGACGGGGACGCAGCCTCCCCGGACCACCTGCGGGTTTCAACGAAAATTTGGCCTGGATCGAGCCCTTCCCCGGCAGTAGAGAGGCGCTCCTGGGCCAGGCGGCTCGGACAAGAAACAGTGAATGAAAAATGGCCGCTGGGATTCTCTCGCCGCTTAAAATTGCCAATCGTCAAAGCATGAACCCAGAAGCATTGGTTAAACTCGAACCGCAGTCTCGCAAACATGAACCAGGGCCAAAAAAAGGCAAATCAACTACGGGGTCGAAGCAACCAAAGAGTGTGGGGGGGGGGGGGATCTGTGCGGTTTTCATGAGCCAACATGAAAACCAACCTTTGGGCGGGCTCGGCACTCGGGCCGGCCTGGTTGATGCACGAGATGATGCAAAAGCTGGGAAGGATCACCTGACGACAAAGCTCGCGTGGGGTAACATGCTGGCCCAACACCAAGTTTCCAAAGGCCTCCCCAAAGGCCACCCAAGATGTGGCTCAGAAGACCCAAACGGGGCCCGGGTCACCGTTTGGTTTCCTTTTTCACGCTCAGAAAGAAAAAGACTTCCCCTCCCCCCCCATGCGAAACATGGACAAGGCTAACCACGGCTTCGAACTCTTCCTGGCTCCCAGCTCTTTCTAGAAAGCAACGGCCGGCCCTTGAACATTCCATCACAACAGAGTGCACTGGCCCATGTTGAAAAAACCGCCACGTTCCTTTGGGAAACGGGGGCTACCGCACTCCGCGCCTGCTTCCCATGTTCCATCAACTCCTGAGACTTCCGGTCACTGGGAACTCCCTCGCCTAAACCCCCCGAAAACCCCCCCGAAGCGCGCGAACGCGCTTCACCGAAACGCGGTCCCAGGCGGCACCAAAGCAATTTTTGTTCGCCCGAGATGCTTGCGATGCATGACGTCCAGCTTGACTGGATGCCAAGGAAGAACTATGCTGACCAGCTCCCGCATCTCCAACGCTTGATGGGATCGCATCTGCACAAATTGCAGCTTACCGACTGAAAACAACAATGCGATCCTCCGGTAAAGCTTCACCATGGACGAATTCATTTACCCAATGAGCTGGTTATGAATTGCGCAAATCGTACGTTCTGCGCTGAACCGAAGTTCCTACGATGTGTTGCCAGGGTTGCGACGGCCACCCACCCGCACACCATTCCTGAATGTACCCACATCAACAATCGACCCAGAATCCACCCAAAATGGATCCCAAAATCTTTGACCCGTCTCGAAACAGAGTGTGCCTTAAACCCACCTAAACCAATCTGAATCCACACTAAGCCAACCCTGACCAACACAGCCTAGACCGCACTAAACCAGCCCAAATCCATTCTGAATCGGAACCCACCCTACCCAAACAAAATCCACCCCCAATCACTGCGCGGCTGTGGAAACTTGCCAGGGGTATGTTCATTGGCCATGACACTCATGACCGTAGGACTGCGTATCTCTTTGCCATGGCGTTGCACGCAAATCGATGCGGACACATGGCGCCACATGTTTCAACCCTGGCTCAGCCTCCAGCTAGGCAACAAATTTCCGTGACATCCTGCGGGACCCATCCCGTCGGAGCGCCAAGAACGGCTCAGGAGGGCGGCGCATTGCCGTCCCAAATGTCATGTACAAAGCCCTTCTCCCGCTCAGTCATCACCAGCCTCAGGCTTTTAGAATTTTGGGGGACAAAAAAAACTCGCTGGAAAGAAATCAGCCAACTAGTTTACACGCAACTTAACCTGCTACCCCAGCCTTCGCAACCGTGGCTCCTAAGCACTCTCCAGCTTCCTTTGAGCAAATTGCTCACTGGAAGAGTTGAAGACATTGCAGGGATGATGAAGAGTGCGTTTGTATGCGCGTGTATGTGTAAATACAGTTTAAATATCGCGCCGATATGCCCGGAACCACATCTGCTGGTAGCACACAAGCCCGTAGCCCCTGCTCCTGCAAAACTGGCCAGCTTCCTTGGTGGGGTTCCACAACAACCATTCTGCTCCGCCTGAGAAAGCCAAGACAGGCGAGGAAGTCACATATTGGGGAAGCAACAAAAAACATTGAGCTCCTTTCAGCGGCATCTGAGTTGACAAATGCGAGTCCCTGCCGGTCAAAATATTCGCAACTGAACTGCCTCATGTCAGAGCATCTGGAAAGGGACGGGCGCCTGTCAAGTGCCAAAACAAGTGGCAGGCAACAGATCAAACACCAAGCCATGTGATAAACCGAGACCGGCACTCCATCGTTCAATGTTCACTCGCATGTGCAATAGGGGGAGCTGTCAAGTTGTCTATGCCTGCCCTTGTTGATTCTCCTCATTCAAAGAAGCTGCAACCGGTACGAGATCTAGCATTTGCTCGCTCATAGCATCTCATTGCACTTAGCGTCTCCAATGTGTTTGGGTGTGGTTGATTTGCGGGTCAATGAAGCATGTGCTGTGCAACGCCGTCCAACCCAACCTGAGCCATCCGTTTTTGGCGTCCCCGACTCAAGGGCTGAGCCCGACTTCCGAACCACGCACTCTCCAAAGCTACCACCCCACCCCAACCTCAAATCTCCCCCAAACCCCCAGCTCCAAATCTTTCCGGAAAACCCAACCAACCGCCCAAACTTCGCCGGGCCCCCCCGCCCCTTGGCATCCTTGTCATAGGCCATAACATAGGCCCGCGTCTCCTCAAGGCTCGCGCGCTGCAGCTGCCTCCTGGCGGCGGTCCCCTCCGCCTTCTTCGCCTCCGCCTTTGCCTGGCACAGGATGCGGGAGACGGACGGGGGCGGCGGTGCAGGGGGCCGGGGGAGGGGGTCGTTCAGCAAGTGGGCGGGGGGGCGGGCGGGGGGGGGCGAGTCCGGTAGCAGGGGATCTAAATCCTGCTGTGGTAAAAAACCAGGCGCAGCGGGTTACGTTGTTAGCCTGGCGCCTTGAAGACCTGAAGATGCGTGTCTTCGTGTCTTCGTGCTTCGCGTCTTCCTGTCTTCGCCGAAGTTGGCCCTGGGATCTATTCAAGTCAGACCCACATGTATCTCAAATGGATTGGTGAGACTGTGGAGGTCCCTGGTTATTGTATTGAACTCGTTGTTCCTGTAATGCACTGCCGCAAGGTCTTTTCACAGTAAGCACATGGCTCGGATTGTGCGAAGAGTAAAGATGGCCTTGAGCCAAATTGGTAGATTGTATGAAGGTCAACAGTGTCAAAAACCAATTCAGGGGGGATTCTTAGTGGGGGGGGTTAACCGGTTAACCCAAACAAAGGAGGCTGGAACCCGGGATTTAAACATAAAGGAGGCTGGAACCTTCAAACATCGGGATTGAAACCAAAAACAAGAAGGCTGGAACCTCCTAAAAACCAGTTGGCTTAGTCTCACAACGAGTTCTCCTGTTGAAACAAGGCCCACAACTGTTTGCAAAACACCGGGGGGGGGGGGGTCCTGTGCATCATGGACACTTACCATCCCAGCATTGCTTGCACGTTTGACCCCTGAAAACCACCTCTGCCCTTCCATGTTTGGTAGCTTAGGGTAAACTGGCAGTAAACTACATGCCTGTACATCTCAAATTAGGCGACCGACAAGGTGATAGCTTACTCATATTCTTTGGGCTAAATCTAGTAGAGTCTTGAACATGGCTTTCAGATGTGTTGTGTTGTATTGTTGGTTTAGACTCAGGTGTTCTCATCCAATGGGGTGACTGAGGGGAGAAATCATCCAAACATGATCGCGGACAGGCTGCAATAGCGTTCTGATTCGACGGCTCCAAGATCTGCCTCAAAATGCCATTGATTCTAATTGGAGATGACATCCAAAGGGTGGCTTTCTGTACCCTTAAAATAAGACATCCCGAAACGCACAGGTTTCTTGGGTCTTTCTGAAGCGCCGTCGAAAACCGAGCCAAAGTGTCGCAACCAAAAGACCACGGCCGTTCAAAGGAACCACACTGCAACCATTCAAAGGGCTCCAGCATCTTCGGGAAGCCTCGGGAAGTTGGGAGTTGTTTGGCGCTTCTTACTCGACTGCCTCACATGCGAACCAAAAGAACGTGTCTGAGCGTGCTTCGGGTTTCTCTCCAAAAGGGGGGGGGATCCCGGGATCCCCCAAAATGGGGTGGTTTCAGTTGAACAGGCAAGGAGCGTTTATTTTTCTCACCCCGCCTCGACGCCCGCGCCGACCGACTCGCCCTCCATCGCGAGCCAAACGCTGCGCGGGCTGGGTCGCGGCTGGACGGCGTTGCAACTCAACAGGTCCAACTGCCACAGAAGAAACCCCCCACTTAGGCTGCACGGTTGGCAAGTTTGGACCTCCAAGAAGGACCGACCGCTTCTACGGGCCATGTCCATCAAAAACAAGAAGGGCCCAACTGTGGTGTTGGTGAGAGGCGGAAGGCACTTTTCATCTGCAACAACCGCACGTCGTTGCGACGATATCGGACTATCACTCTTCATGCCAATGACTGCACTCCGTACGTGGGTCTGTTCACGTTTTGAGACAACGCCACTAGAACGCCAGTGACTACCGCCTTACATGGGTCTGCGCACAACTCGCACCTTCATCTTGCCATGCTGGCAACGCCAAAGCGGGGCTGCGCTAGAACGGCAAGGGGCAGGGGTCTTGCCGGCTTGCCAACCACGAGTAGTGATCTTGACGCCAATATCCTGGAAGGTGGTGCCAACATCTATATCTGCGCACCGCCCAACAGTCCATTGGAGCCAAGATTCTTACTTGCCGCGCGCGAACCAACCAGGCTCTACCTATCACTTTCGGTTGCGTTAACGTCCACGGATGGGGGCCTCTTTCGCGAACAACCATGTATCTTCTAGCCGCGTGCCCGGCATGCTGTCAGCAATGGGGCCAAGTACACTCCGTCGTCTGTGCATTCGCTAAAGCGGTCGTCTGTGCACTCGGATGTTGGTCGCCACTCGCCGATGGGTCGTTGGTGCACTCGCCGAGCGAAAAACCGGTTTAGGTTCCAGCAACGCGCAGCTTCACAACACTCCTGATGTCCCACGCCTGTGTTCGTCTGTGATTCCCGCTTCGGAGTCCGGAAGAGCGCCTGAAACCGTGGCACCGTGTCAGCCCCGCGCCTCGTCGCCGGTGGAAAGGCCCAGCGCCTGGCTGGGGATGAACAAAAACCTCTCCATATCGTATTGGTTGGACACTTGGATTGTATGGTGTTGGGGAAAATCCGGATGGTCTTGAGGAAAATCCGGATGGTTTTGGGGAAGATACGGATGGTCTTGGGGAAAATCTGGATGGTTTTGGGGAATATCTGGATGGTTTTGGGGAAATCCGGATGATTTGGGGAAAATCCGGACGGTGTTGGGGTAAATCCGGATGGTTTCGGGGTAAATCCTCTCAAAAAGAATGTGGAAGAGAAAGGCTCCCTTGAAAGGGGAAGCTTTTGAGGAAGTGTCGTTCAGCCGGCCAAGCAAGCGGCCCCTCGCAAAACCGTGGGTAAAACACCAGGTTAAGAGATCCGAAAGGCGTGGCTCCATCCGAATGAATTCCCACTAAAAGGGGGACCCCCCGATCAAAAAATCGGCCGGGGGTTTATTAATCCGGGGTTCCCAGTACTTGTTTGTTGGAGGTACCGTGCAGATTCCTGAGTCCTGCAATCCTGTTGCAGGGCGTTTCTGATTTGTGACCATGCCGGTGGCATCAGCCGGTGAAACGTGCCGGAGACACACACCGGGGCACGGCATTTTTCCCGGGTGTTCTGTGCAGCAAGCAGCAAAAGCAGGGCAAAGCAGAAACCAAAACAACGACGAGGCACGCGAATCCTCGGAATGTCCATGTCTCCGCTTCAAAACTCTGAGGCACACGTGCAACTGTTGAGTCACCGTGACAATGCTGTCCACGTGCTCCATGGGATGCCTTGTCAGGAAAATTCAGAGGAATCCCACCCGAAGAGGTGCCTACCAAAATGCCATAGCCCCCTGTTTGGTTGAGTTTCTGTAAGGAAACATCTCGGGCAAACCGTTCAAAATTACAGAACTATCTCCCCGAAAAGTGAATCACCATGGCGCAACCCCCAACGATCAAGCCGGCGCTTCTCAATCCTGGATCAACATCAACTGGTGAGTAAGTGCGATTACGGAGGACTTACCATGATGTCTAATTCGTCTCCCGAACATGGGTTTAGCCAAAATAGGAAAATGGCAGACACTCCCCGTTTCTCAATCCCGATTCCAACTTACGCTAGGATCGACCAATGCAAACCCAACATGGGTGTAGTTTGCACTTTTGGGGTGTAGTTTGCACTTTTGGGTGGGTTATATAAGGGAGAGAAAAAGGAGAACACTAATTTGGGGGGTTCCGATTCCCAGTTGGAGACAGGGCCATGAAGTTTCCCAAAAAAAAGAGACGCACCCAAATCGTCTCGGCAATTGAGGGGGTAATTCACTTGGGCTCATGACCATAGGTGTCCTTTTGGTAAAATAGATAAGTTTCCCTAGTAAATTGTTTATAAAACCAATCTAAACCAGTGGTTTGCCCATCTAGGCAAACCAACCGATCAAAAGGACACCTATGCTGACCGCTCATGATCCATCTGCAAATCTTACTCCAAAAGCTGAAGAAAAGCCTTGGAGTCCCCAAGTCAAGTCTCTTCCTTTCAACCACGGCCTTCGCTCTCGAATTTCCACCCCCCCACCCTCCCCACCCTCGCCCCCCCATTCCCCCCCCCCCTGATCCGCTCGTTACCCGCCACCCGCCACCCGCTCCGCTCCGCTCGCCTTGACGGCGATGTCCAGCGCGGCGGTGCCGTTGGCCACGGCCACGCCGTGCCTCGCAGCTCGGACCCACGAAACGGGCGGCGCCGCCCCCCGGTGAAATCGACCCACCGCTAAACCGCTGTTCCGATTCTTCTTGGGGTGTCCCCGATTTTTTAAATCTAAATCCGCCAACAAAAACGGCCGCCCTCGAAAATACCGCCTTTTCTCCATCTATATAAATCCACCAATTAAAAAAAGGCGCCCTGAAAAATAAAGACGCCCCCCACATGCGTTTGTCGCTTTTGGAGGGCCTGAAGCTTATGCTTATGAAGTGTTTGAAGTGGGGGCCACTTGGATGGAGAACTTTCGAAGGGAAGCAAAGTTAAAGCTCTGCTTCCCAATATTTGGTGGTTTGGATTGGTGGATTGGTGGTTAGGGGGTGGAATCAGGGGTTCGAATCCCCCTTCCTCCCAGTCCAAACCTGGGCGAAAAGACATCTCTTTTGAAGGCAGCCCCCCAAAAAGGCTATGTCAACCAGGGTCGGGTGAAAAATACTGACAGGCCCAACGGGCATCCCGTGCTGGGCAAGAGGCAAGTGATCTCAGGGGGTGGAATCTCACCCTTCGGAACCCTACGGGGCCAAAAGGTGGCAAGCCCCATATCAACATCTCTGCGCTTGGTGTGGTCCTGACTCGGAGACACCGAGGGTCATGCTTCCTCTGGCATCTCGCTGCCAGCTTGGTTTCAAACTCCTTCACCGCTGGACCTAGCTGTGTGCGTTTCCAGTTGGCCCCTTCAAAGTGGCCAACTAACTTTCCTTTGAGTTTTGCGAGCTGTCCCGTCAAGGGTCCCCAGTATCAATCTTTGACCCACTTAGAATTCCCGCACTCAAAGGAACTGGCCAGCGACGACCTTGGCGACCCCTGACCTTCTGGCTGGACGGACGCTCTCAGTTGAGGTTCATCTGAGAGTCTCTCAAAGGGAGGTCCGTTTTAAGAGGAAGCGACCAAGAACAGGGTCCCCTATGGTCCTACCCGCCAAATTGCCAGCTCGTTCTAGCCCGTCAACATGTCGATCAGGGTCATTGGGATATTGGTGTTATATTCTCACGATTCTCACATGGCTGTTCCACCACCGTTGAAGCAACACCAAAACATTCCATAGCAAAACCAGCGGTTCTGAAAGGATATATGACAGAACCAGTGAGTACCCCACCCCACCCCCCCCCCACCCCCGTCGTCTTCCCGGGAACTAACCATGAAAGCTACGCTTGCCAACAAACAACTGCCTTTGAAACAACATTGCTGCACTTACATCACATCAGGAATCCATACAGGGAAACTTTAGGACAAGTACGGTCGCCTTGTTCACTAGAGTCGCGTCAATAAATGCAAGTCACACAATTCAGCAAGTCAAGGTCATCGCCCCGTAGAAAGCTGTGGCCCTGGCAAAACCCCCAAATACCCCGGTAAAGCTAAAGGCTTGCAAAATGCAGACCATCGGAGCGAATACCGTTGTCCACTTTCCTTCCGAGGCAGGAACAAACAAACCAAAACGGTAGTTGTTGGCAAGAAAAGTCGCCTGAGAATGGTACAGCATGTTTGGGCGAATCTGAGTTAGGCCTGACTTGGAAAGCCCAAACCCATTGACTTGGGTTCTAACAAAATGTTGTTGAAACTTTAGGTAGGCCTCACTATAGTCCTTACTGCTTGCACCAGGTAGCACCTTCCACTCAAATGGTCTGATTGGCGACACTGTCGTCAGCCCCTGTTTGCCCGTCTGAACCCCTGCACAACCCCTTTGTTGACCACTCACATTGTCAACGCCTGCTCTTGGCAGCGAAGGGAATTTGGGCTCTCTCGACAAACTTCACGATAGGTACAGAAAATAAAGCACCACTAGAACCAGAAAGGCTCGTCTAATGCCTTCTGTCGGTCGAAGCACCCCGTCCCTCCGTCCATCTGCCCTTCTCACCTTCCGAAGAGATCCAGCCCGTCTCTATGCACTTGGAGACCAACTCCTGACATGATTGGGGTCATGCCCCTTCAAAGATGGTTCGTTTCAAGAGTTTGGATTGTCCAATTTATATGTGTATGTTGTCCTGTCGTCATACCTTTCAAATCAACCAGGAGTCGTGGCTTGAAAACCGAGAAATCGGAATGGCCCCAATGCGGAGTTGGCATACGTGTCCCTTGCAAACCGCGGGAAACAATGTGGTTGACCGCAATGGAGAATGCACCAAAAACAAATGTAGAACCTTCAATTACCAGGTGTGCCGAACAAAGTGTTTCCACATCCACTGTGACTTCTAGTCCCAAATCCTCCGGAGTCACTCGAAAGGATTCCCAGTCTTGGCACAGAGCCATCCAACTGCTGGTGCAGGCCCAGCGCTCACCGAGACTCCCTTCATGAACGCCACATATCCTACGACACTAAGCCACGGCAAAACTGCCATCCTCGCAAGTCAGCCATTCTTCAAAAATAGATTACACCAGCATAGACCCCAGATAGCGAAACACATGCCAACGATTGCACTGTGGCACCTGCACAGCCCATCACCAGGCCCCCCAAAACAGCACCTGCACCAGCCGTCAATCTCGCAAAACGCCACGCCCGTCAGAGCCCCGTCAATCTCGCAAATATGCCACCAGCACCTCAAACAGCACCCCAAACACCATCCCAAAACAGCACCTTCAGCAGACTGCATGCCCCCTAGCACCCTAACGTCAATCTTGCAAGAATGCGCCCGTACACTAGCACCCCAAACTGCATGCCCCGTAGCACCCAGCCGATAATCTCGCAAATCACTGTCCCTTCTTTCTTAGAAGTATGAACCCCTATAGCTTTCAGCTATCTGGGGGAAAAAAAGAAGAGAGTTAGTCATTGTCCCCGCTCCGCATTCAGATCTGATTTTGCCCACAGCCCAAAACCGTGTGGCTTTCCTTGTGACCGGGGCTTACATTGATTTTCGGGGCCTGGCCGAAAATCTCCGTCCTGCTCATTGCCCCAGAACTTGGGTGTGTTCACCGGGAAGGCCACGGTGGACAGGTCCATGGCTCTCGTCAGAAAAAAAAACGAACGAAGGTTGGAATGGCTGGCCCAAAAAGGTTGGAATATGGGGGAATCGTGCTCGAAAAAACAAAAAACACTTTCCCGCCGAAAGCAGGTCGAAATGTGTGTCTTTGTGTGTGTGTGTGTGTGTCTTTGTGTGTGTGTGTGTGTGTCCCCAGTCGCTCGTAGTCTCCGGAGATTGTGGCTAGAAGAAACTCCTTGCGGCACGGCCACGTGTGCGCTTTCGGGCCAAAGAAACACCCGCGATGGAAGCTAACCTGGTGGGAAACCAACAAAAAAGAACGCACAAAAAAAAACCATGCTGCGCTCGATCTACTTAAACTCCTCCAAACACCACTTCTATATGAGAATCCAAGTACATGCGTCTTTGGCGGCGCGTATTGGCGAGACCAAACCTTGTAATTCATAGGGGTGGTGTCACCTGCAACAAGTGGAGGAAGGTGTCCGTCTTTTTGAAATGCTTGCTGCGTTTTCCCTCCAATCATTTGAAATCAACTGTACTGCCTGATGTGAAGACATGCTGAAATGTGCGGATCGTACGCTCAACTCCTTGGAAGGACATTAAACATAGTGCTGGCGCCCCTCTTAGTGAGTTTTGCCGCGTGCCCATCACCGCGTGCATTGTGCGTTCTTGCAATGCGAGGCTCAACTGCGTCAGCATGACTGATGGAAGCAAAATATCCTAGAGCTGGGGGGACTTGAACCTCCAACCTTGGCGCGTTGCGCTGCCATTGCGCCACAGCTCTGCTGAGACGTTGCATTTCCAAAAAACTTTTCCAGCCGCTCTCGACTCTTTGAGAGTCAGCGTCTGACTTGTCCCACAACGCGCCTTTGCGGTAGCGCAACAAACTCGAAGGAGCAGCGCACCTGAAGTGTTGGCTGACGTTCAAGGAGAAAGGCAAAACAGGAGCATCCTTTGACGACCAGAATCAGGAGCTACTTTGCATTTTGCCGCCTCGGATTGTGTGGAAGCCAGTTGCTAGCGCTTGCCCAGCGAACTTGTTGCACCAGGTGAAAGCAGATACAATGCGTCCAACTTGGCGGTGGTGTACCAACCTGCAAAAGCCGCCCGACGTACTTCTGGGTGCGACGGAAGCTACGGCGGCCAGGGAAGAAGCGAAAGGTCCTGGCCGCTGTACCGAGATATATCTCAGAATATGCCTCATCTATGCACTTTGCACTGTCACCCATGCACGTCACGTCATCTGTATGCCTTTCGGCATTTTCCAAAGAAGGCATTGTTCCAATTTGGTCTGTAAGGCTTCTGCTCATGAAGAGGCTTGCGCACTTCCATACACAGCTGGCATGTGACCATCTCACTGTTGCGAGTCCAATTGAAAACCTCAAAGTGTTTTCGCCAATCAAAGTAGCGGTTGTAGCTCACATCGTCTCCATCCAGCTTTATGAGGTAGTCGGCCAAAGCCTTATGATCTTTGAAGTCGTCCACGTGGATGAAAGAACTGCCCGGAACGAGTCTCTCATAGTCAGCTCTGCTTAAGCCACCATGCGCTATAGGCACCATGCCATATTCATAACATCTTTCGAACTTTTCGGAGATATATCCGTCACAAAGATTGTTTTCAAAGGCAGCATAAAATTTAAACCTTCGCATCACCTCTTGCGTACATGAGACATTGAATCGCGAGCGACAGGCATCTTTTTGTCCACCTTTACAATTTCCAAACATGGTCACCTTGTCCGCAGGGAGGTGCGATGCAAGGCTCTGAAAGAGCTGCATGCGAGCCTGACCACAATTAGACACATACCACAAGAGCAATTTGTCTTTTCCCCCTGCAACATTGTCCTCCGCCTCTGTCTGCAAAGGTGCAGAAAACCTTGGCAACAGCTGAATCCTCGGTTTGAACCATTCATTTCCTGACTGAAATCCTGCAGTCCAGTCGATACCACTGCCCAGAACCTGCATGAAGTCCCGAGGTTCGGAAATGGGAGCCTCAAAGTCGTAGGTGAAGACCCAGCGCTGCTTCGCAGGCTTGGTGCTCGGGGAAGCACGCATGCGCTGCAGGTTTCCCGTCATCCACAGAGGGTTCCAAACCACCACGTCGGCCGAACGCCACTCGGCCTCATCCGTGGTAACTTCACAACGAATGGGACATCCAGGAAGAAGTCCCGCAGGTGGCCAGCCCCAGACACTACTGATATAGATCTTGGAGAAGTTTTGTGGAGCACTCAGAGCAATCGGGAAGCGTCCTTGCTCTGCCAAAAGATCAAGCAAGGCAGCCATGCTGAAAAGCACTACACAAAACAACAAGCGGCAGTAGTCTCTCCACGTCCAGCGGGTCCATGGCAAACTCATTTGCTCGGCGCCGGCAATTGGTCCGCTTGACCACTTGGAATGCTCTGGGCGATGCATGCAAGTGAACAAGCTCTGACGTAAGACCCCCAAGCACATTCTGCAAGTCGCCATGATTTTTTGGAAGGGGGTCCGCCAACCATAATAAGCAAGGGAACCACCTTTCAAAAACAAAAGGAAACGCCGAAGGGTTACCTAGGCGTAACTGGGATCCCGGTCATTTTCCTCGTCAGAAACTGGTGGCTGGTAGTCTTGATGCTTGTCGGATCGTTGGGAGGCGCATTTGGAGCTAAACCCAAATGTCACGGGACTCAAATTCAATACAGGCAGTGGAATCCTTCGTGCCTACTTGTGCGGGTGGAAGGAATCCCACTACAGCAACATTTGCCTCCGGCCATAGGAAACCAATAAAAGAACAAGGAAGGCGGCACCCCGTTGCCAATGCTTGAGACACAGGCTCCCTTTCCAAAGAAGGAAGTGGTCATACCCAACAAATGGAAACTGAAGCCTGAGTGTAGGCTTACTTAGCCTCTTGCCAACAATGATGGAAGGGGTTTGGAAGACTGCATTCTCTTGACAAGGCCAGCTGTCCACTTTCATTTGTTGGAAAGAGCGTAAGGCAGGACAAATGCAGAAATTGTGGCTAAAGTATGGTTGCAGTCTGGCTTCAGTATGGAGAGGAGGGCAATCGAGCATTGCCGTTTCTGGTGTTTTGTTCATGGATAAAGTCTTTTTGGTTTCCCTGTCAACCCCCCAAAAAAAACTCACCAAAATCCCTTCCGATGCTACATGGCCACACACTGTATGGCCGGAATTGAAAACAGCTTCGAACAAGTTACCCGCGCTTTCCCCATAGACGACCACCTCCTCCAAAAATACCGCCAAATGCCTATGGCGTTTGCAAGGCGTCTGGGCCAGCATCATGAGCATCATGAGGACTGGCACAGTGCGAGCCTGGCCGTTTGCAAGGCGTCTGGGCCAGCATCATGAGCATCATGAGGACTGCTACAGTGCGAGCCTGGGCGTTTGCAAGGCGTCTGGGCCAGCATCATGAGCATCATGAGCATCATGAGGACTGCCACAGTGCGAACCTGGGCGGTTGCAAGGCGTCTGGGCCAGCATCATGACAATCTGGGCCAGCATCATGAGCATCATGAGGACTGGCACAGTGCGAACCTGGGCGTTTGCAAGGCGTCTGGGCCAGCATCATGAGCATCATGAGGACTGGCACAGTGCGAGCCTGACCGTTTGCAAGGCGTCTGGGCCAGCATCATGAGCATCACAAGAACTGGCACAGTCCGAACCTGGGTGTTTGCAAGGCGTGTGGGCCAGCATCATAAACATCACGCGGACTGGCACAGTGCGAGCCTGGGTTTGGCATCTGGGCCAGCATCATGAGCATCACGAGGACTGGCACAGCCAGCATCATGAGCATCACCAGGACTGGCACAGTGCGAACCTGCGTTTGCAAGGCGTCTGGGCCAGCATCATCAGCATCATGAGGACTGGCACAGTGCGAGCCTGGGCGTTGCAAATCGTGAGCATCATGAGGGCTGGCACAGTCCGAACCTGGGCATTTGCAAGGCGAGCATCATGACAATTTGGGCCAGCATCATGAGCATCATGAGGACTGGCGCAGTGCGTCTGGGCCAACATCCAGCATCATGAGCATCACCAGCATCATGAGCATCCTGAGAACTGGCACAGTGCGTTTGCAAGGCGTGTGGGCCAGCATCATGAACATCACAAGGACTGGCACCGTGCGAGTTCTGGGCGTTTGCAAGCCGTCTGAGCCAGCATCATGAACATCACGCGGACTGACACTGTGCGAACCTGGGCGTTTGCAAGGCGTCTGGGGCCAGCATCATGAACATCACGACAGACTGGCACAGTACTGGCCCAGGTACGACTGGCACAGTGCGTACCTGGGCGTTTGCAAGGAGTCTGAGCCAGAATCATGAACATCACGAGGACTGGCACAGTGCGCACCTGAGGGTTTGCAAGGTGTCTGAGTCACCATCATAAACATCACCAGCATCATGAGCATCACAAGGACTGGCACAGTCGTTTGCAAGGGGTCAGCATCATCAGCATCACGAGGACTGGCGCAGTGCAAGCCTGGGCGTTTGCAACGTGTCTGGGGCAGCATCATGAGCGTCACCAGGACTGGCACAGTGCGAACCTGGGGCGTCTGAGCCAGCATCATCAGCATCACGAAGACTGGAACAGTGCGAACCGGGCGTTTGCAAGGCGTCTGGGCCAGCATCATCAGCATCACGAGGACTGGCACAGTTCGAACCTGGCGTTTGCAAGGTGTCTGGGGCCAGCATCATGAGCGTCACCAGGACTGGCACAGTGCGAACCTGGGTGTTTGCAAGGTGTGTGAGCCAGCGTCATGAACATCACGAGGACTGGCACAGTGCGGATGCAAGGCGTCTCAGACAGCATCATGAACATCACGAGGACTGGCCTGGGTGGTTGCAAGCCGTGTGGGCCAGCATCATGAACATCACGAGGACTGGCACAGTGCGAACCTGGGCGAGCATCATGAGAATCACCAGCATCATAAGCATCACCAGCATCATGAGCATCATGAGGACTGGCACAGTGTGTTTGCAAGGTGTCTGGGCCAGCATCATGAGCATCACGAGGACTGGCACAGTGCGAGCCTGGGCGTTTGCAAGGCGTCTGGGCCAGCATCATGAGCATCACA